GAACAGGAACAGGAACAGGAACAGGAACAGGAACAGGAACAGGAACAAGAACAAGAACAAGAACAAGAAGAAGTTCGAAACGCAGAAGAGACGCAGGAGGTGATAGACGAGGAAGAGGAGAAGAAGGAGAGTGAAAATAATATTGATGATAATATTGATGATGATATTAGTGCTACTGAAGAGAGAGACGATGACGACGACGAGAGATACGCGCGTAACGATTATGAAGGTAATAATATTTGTCTATTATATTTTTAATTCCGTAATTTATTGTTCTAATCACAAGTAATTATTTCTGTTTCTTACTCACCGGTTCGGCCTTTGTCTCCGGAAAATTAATAAAAGGCAAAGATTAAAAAAAAAACCGGCGATCTACGCTAGTGATAAAAGCAACTGGTGATTTGCTTTTACTCTACTTAAGGTAAGTTACCTTAGTATGGCTCTATCGCGGTCGTGTAAAAAATTTTAACTTTTTAAACGTAATATAAATCAATATTATAGGAGACTAAGTTTTTTTTAATTTTTCAGTACAATCGGGTGATGGTGCAAACCGTCCTGCTGCTGCTGCTGCTGCTGCCGACAATACTGTTGATACACAAACGCAGAGTGCTAGCGAGGAGGAGAAGGGGGAAGAGGAGTATGCTGTTGCTGCTGATCCTCAATATCACAGAGAGTCGGAGAGGAGGAGGAGGAAGAAAATACCCCGTGGAGAGGGAGCAACAGGAACAACAGGAGCACCAGCAGGCACGTCAGCAGGAACACCATCAGCACCATCAGCATCACCAGGTCGGGCAATTTAATTTTATAAAATTAGTGGCAGAAAACGCGCGTCGGTTTAGAAATTTCCGGATACTCGGTAGGGAAGCCAGTTTTCGAATACGACCGATACCCGAAGGCGACGATACCGCGTTGGCTGGAAAACGCATTCCGTGAAATTCACACGTATGCGTTACGTGCAACCGTGCAGGGAGATTACGTTAGATTGTCGTTCAGCGGAACTAACGCTCGGTCCGGCGGGGCTATCGTTTCGCTCGGTACGAGACTTAACTCCCGAGAACATATGGGATCTCGTGAGCTCGGTCGCACAAAGCAACAGGAGAATCAATATCGCTCAAAATTTCATCGTGAGCGTTTTCAACGTCGCGGTGCCAGTGGGCCGCGGGGGCTCGACAAACAGAGTAACCGACATCGCTAAGCGTTCAATTTTAGATCTCGGTAATAGAGATAATTTGTACCTCCCTCGTTCCCTCGTGTTGGCACAAATTTATCGCGAGCCCGGGAATCTACGCACGGGGGTGTTGCACGACAGGTGGAATTCCGTAAAATGCCAGACTTCCTCGCTTCAGCGTGAATTAGCGTTAAAACTAGTGAGGAACGCCGGTGTTACGATACCCAAAGACGGGTGCGGAATTCCCGAGATCGATCTTTTTCAACGTTTTCTCGCAGACGAAAATATAGCCATAATTACAATTCCAGCAACTTTGGTAGCGGCGAAAATCCGTTGTACGACGGTAGTGAATGACTCGTCTCGTTAGAACGCGAATCTACGTATCGTTTAAACATAATGTATTACGAGCATTCGCATCATTACAATCCAATATTAAATTTGAATGCTGCCGCCGGTACTCAAAAAGAATTTTGCGTGTCGTGCAACACTGCGTTTCGTAAAGACAGAGGACATCGCTGTTCCAAAAAATGTCCGCATTGTTACGCCACTCCCTCGTGCGAGAATCCCGATGTGGAAATTGTTAAGTGCGTGACGTGTAATCGTGCGTTTTTCGGAAATTCGTATTTCGAACGTCATCTCGCGCAAAAATCTTACGACAGTAAATCGCACGCGAGCGTCTGTTAGGATTTGCGATAATTGCGGGCGATTCATCAAGAGAAGTTCGCGACACGAATGTGGCGTTTCGTATTGCAAGACGTGTTGTTTGTTGCAGTCCGCTAATCATTTACGTTTTATGCGGCCTCTTCGACATAATGCCGACGTAAACGAACGCCCCGGGCGAGGGTACGAGTACTACGTTAGCACGGGGAGAGGTATCGCTTCGAAACGAAAATGACGGCGCGGATGTAACAAACAACCGTAATAGCAAAAAAGAACGCGTCACATTCGTGTTCTATGATTTTGAAACGCATCAAAACGAGACGCTCGAAGGTACGGAGAACGTCAAAGTTCACGTACCGACTCTCTCCGTCGTGCAACAGATTTGCGAAACGTGCGCCGCGATAGACATGTCGTCGGAGCGATGCCGTTGGTGCGGAGTGCGAGAATTTATATTTCGTCGTGATCCAGTAAAAGAGTTCATCGATTTTGCCACGCAAACGACAAAATGTTACAAAAAAATTATTTGCATCGCGCATAATGCGAAAGCGTTCGACGCGCAATTTATTCTGAAATATTTAGTTAAAAATACAGAAATAACGGAAGAACCACAAGTAATTTTAAACGAGACGAAAATTGTCGTGATGACGATCGGACATACCAAATTTATAGATAGCTTAAATTATATGCCGATGAAATTATCTGAATTACCTAAAGCTTTCAGGCTGCTGGATACATCGGATAAAGGTATTTTTCCACATTTATTTAACACCTGTGAAAATCAAGATTATATCGGTTCGATACCCGACACACGATATTTTTCTCCCGAGCATATGAAACCGGAAGAACGCGAACGGTTTTTTTCGTGGCACGCGGAGATGACGCGTAACAACTTTATTTTTAACTTTCAAAGTAAGATTATTAAATATTGCCGTAACGACGTGGATATTCTTCGACGCGCGTGTATGGCTTTCAGAAAATTTTTTTTGGAACGCGGGAACGTGTGTTCGTTCGATGAATGCACGACTATCGCTTCCACGTGCATGAGAGTTTTTCGCAAAAACTTTCTGCGCAAGGAAGAGATAGGAGTCATTCCTGCGGGGGGATATAGATTCACCGATAATCACTCATGGAAAGCTCTACAGTGGTTAGTGTGGATGGAGCATGAGCTTGGACATCCCATAATTCACGCAGGGCGAGGGGCGCGAGCATAAAATCGACGGCACGCGCGTTGACGAATATTACGAGACGCCGACTAATGACGACGACGAAAACGAGACGCGACGTTACGTACTACGATTTCACGGTTGCTTTTGGCACGGATGTCCCACATGTTTTCAGGTGAATCGCGATAGAACGGTTTCGGCCGCGAATCGTGAGGACACGATCGATGTGCGCTACGAGCAAACACTCGCGATGACATGTCGTCTCCGAAGAAGGAGGTACCTCGTGACAGAGATGTGGGAGTGTGCTTTCGACCAAGAGTTGCGCAAAAATCAGGTGATGAAAGATTTTCTAAAAAATCATCCATTACTGAAACTCGCTCCTCTCGATCCTCGCAACGCGTTTTACGGAGGACGCACAGGAAACATCGCCACGCGTCGCGAAATTCGGGGTACAGAGAAAATACATTATGTGGACGTTTTCTCTCTGTACCCGTACGTATTGAAAACCGGTGCTTTTCCGATCGGTCATCTTTTTTTTATTGGCGAAGAATGCTGAGCGTTAATCGGAACTGCAACGAATTATAATTTTGATTCGCTCGAAGGTCTCATTCGATGTCGAGTACTTTCACCGCGCGATCTTTTTCACCCGGTACTCCAATATCGCGTACGCAAAAAATTATTGTTCGCTTTATGCCGTAGTTGCGAAACGTTCTTGCAGGTAACGTGCACTCACGATAACCCCGCCGATCGTGAATTTGAAGGTACTTGGGTATCTGCCGAATTGCGCAAAGCCGTCGAGAAGGGTTATCTCGTGACAAATGTGAGCGAAATATGGCAATATAAAGTTGCGCGATATGACCCCGGTACTCGGCGCCAGGGTGGTTTGTTCGCCGAATATATAAATACATTTTTAAAATTAAAACAAGAAGCTAGTGGGTGGCCGAGTGATTGCCATGATAACGAGACGAAAGAAGGATACCTGCGAGAATACGCGGAAACCCAGGGTGCTGTTCTCGATAAGGACAATATCGTCCGAAATCCTGGCCTGCGCTCGGTCGTGAAACTTTGTTTAAATTCTTTCTGGGGAAAATTCGGCCAGCGAACCAATTTGCCTGTACCTTCACTCAATTGCTCATAACTCCGGTATTTATCCATAGATTTTCTTCAATTTGTAGCTTTTTTTTCGTAAAAGTACAACCTATACGTAAACAATAAGAAACTGGACATAATTTGATGTTTTCTATTTTTGCATGGCGATAGAGTGAATTTTCTATTTTTATTGTGGCCCAAAAAATCAACGTTTCTCATATATTTTAGTCCATAACACTGAAACTACTGAACCGATTGGAAAACAATGTGAGACGCGATTGTTCGAGATTCGATTACTTTTACTATGATAGCTTGTGCGACCCAATCGTACGTTTCTAAATCGAGATATGGCTTAAAATGTGAAGCTATCTCCGAAAAAAAATCCAAAAATTCATATCTCGAAAACCAATCCATACAAAAATTTTTATGTGATTTTCGAGTTTAGCGGGCCAAAATACATAGGGAAAAAATAGTGGCATTAAATGTATAAAAAAATTTTTTCATTTTGTAAACCAGTGTAATTGTTATTCACTTCCGTACGGTTACGTGGAGTGAATAACTTTTTCTCCTTCTTCTTCTTCTTTATTGTTAAGTTAGGCTAACGAGTTTTCTGCCACATTAGGGTAAAAAAATGTTCTCATATTATATTGTAAATAGTTTTTATGCAACACGTGCATGGAAAGTGCCCTATTACGCACGCTACGCGTGCGTGATAGACCACTTTCCAGGCACTTGCAACATAAAATAGGGAGTGTAAGTCGTGTGTAAAGATGAAAATTCCCGGGTGCGAGTTTACGCACGAGCCGAAGGCGTAAACTCCGCACCCGGGAATTTTCATCTTACCTCACTTGTTACACAAATAACTATTAATTTTGTAAATAGTTATAAGTGTAAATAGATTTTTGTAATATGTAACTAAAAATATAATGTAGCAATATGTAAATATATTCTGTTTAAATATAAAATTTTTAAAAATTTATGTTTTTTTTTCTCAGAAAATCTCTGAAAAATAAAATATTTTTACATTTAAAGCGTAAATAGTTGTATCATATAATTTCCCCACCTTTTCCCGCGCTTATTTTTTCTCTCACACTTTTTCTCCGCTCGGAGCATCGCGTACAAGCTCGTCGATTGCGATGCTCTTGCTGCGGAAACGTAATAAGCTAAGACATGAATAAGCTTATGCGCACCGCGGCGCGCGAATCATAGTCCAGTCACTATGTACATTTAAAAAAGACAATTCTGACACAGGATTTTTCTTTTGGGGGGTGTTAGGGGCTCAAGAAAAGCTTAATCTCAAGTTTTCGACCTCTGTTTCCCGCTTGCTTTTTTTATGGGAGTAAAAAATGTGAAAAAATGGTTTTTCCGCAATAACTCGGTTTCTAATAAAGTTACAAGGTCGAATCGAATTTTCAACAAAATGAAATGAATAACAAATAAAAGTTGTAGGTTTTTTTACGCTTTACAAGTTTCATTTGAAGCATTTTTGCAATTTCGGACGACAATAATGAGTAAAAAGAAAAAAATATCATACTTTTTTATTTCCCTTTCTCGTTCGATGTCTCGAAAACAATCAATTATACGTAAAAATGTCATACGACATAATTTGTAGAGCGTAAAAAAAGCTTTAAAATGAGCTCCAATTCGACCTTGTAACTTTATTAGAAATCGAGTTATCGCGGAATAGTTATTTGTGTAACAAGTGAGGTAAGATGAAAATTCCCGGGTGTGGAGTTTACGCACGAGCCGAAGGCGAGTGCGGTAACCGCACCCGGGAATTTTCATCTTTACACACGGCTTACACTCCCTATTTTATGTTGCAAGTGCCTGGAAAGTGGTCTATCACGCACGCGTAGCGTGCGTAATGGGGCACTTTCCATGCACGTGTTGCATAAAAACCATTTTTTTACATTTTTTACTTCCATAAAAAAAGCAAGCGGGAAACAGAGGTCGAAAACTTGAGATTAAGCTTTTCTTGAGCCCCCAACACCCCCCAAAAGAAAAATCCTGGGTCAGAATTATGTCTTTTATAATCCGTTTTTTTGTACATAGTGACTGGACTATCAGCTGATCGACGGCCGCGGTGATGTTCGCTCGCGCGAGCGTTTGCGGAGGCACGCTGGTGCGCGCGTTTGCCGCCGCCGCCGCCGCCGCCGTTGATTATCTTTTCCCCCCGCCCCACTCTTCAAATTATCCTTTTTGAAGTCACGCGCGGAATTCGAGTCAATCATTTCGCAAAATGGACGTGCGCTGGAAACATCGACGTTGATCATGTGTGGACCCACCGGTTGCGGGAAGGCGATCTTCGTGAAAACCTTTCTCCGAAATTATTTTACATGTCCAACGTACGTTTCGAGAGAGTTTTGTTTTATTACGCAGAGTGGCAGAAGGCTTTATCGTCAATTACAATACGACGCCCGTGAGGAAGCAGTGCCGAAGAAAAATGTAATTGAATTTCACGAGGGATTGCTACGTTCGGAAGATTATTCCGCCGATCCGCTCTCCCCTAAATTGGTAATAATCGACGATCTTATGAGAGAATCGTCATCGAGCGACGCGATTGTGGATCTCTTTACCAAAGGCAGTCATCATAAGAATCTCAGCGTAATTCTCATCTCGCAAAATCTTTTTCATCAGGGACGCGGGCAACGCGATATATCGCTCAATGCAAACATTGTGGTTTTTAAGAATTCTCGCGATCGTGCGCAAATTCGTCATTTAGCGCGTCAAATCTTTCCCAACGATCCACAGTTTCTAGAAGCGGCATACTACGACGCCATGTCGAGACCGCGGCGCACGGGTATCTACTACTCATCGATCTGAAACAATCGACAATTGACTCCGGACGAATATCGATTTCGAACGTGCATCTTTCCCGACGATACGGCACATTTCGTCTACGTACTAGAGATTTTATAGTGTAACAGAGATTCGCTAATGATCACGTGATCGTGAGATTACGCTGATTGGTCAGAGTGAACTGTGCCCATGTACCTGCTGCCATATTGAATTATACATAGCGACAACGGTAAATCTGAAGAATAGTGGCCTCCTCACCATTATTTATAGGCTTTTATTTAATGAATTATTTTTATTGCATTATTAAATGCTTTGCATTAATTATTACACATTTTTTTGCACATTTTAGACTCCCTATGCCAACCTTTTGTGCTGCAAATTGCTGTACTAACAACAGCAGTAAAGGTTACTCGGTATTTAATTTTCCATGAAAAAGTTATTAACAAAAAAAGTTTCAAAAATATAGCAGCTACGTTGAGTATTG